CTTTCTCTTCGCATCTTTTCCCCCCTCTTCTCTTTCCATCTCCTTTCCTTCTCTTCACATCTTCTCTCATCTCTTCTCCTCTCCTCCCTTCTACCTATCTCCTTATCTCCCCTCCTACCTTCTCCCATCTACCATCTTTTCTCCTCTCTTCCCATCTCGTACATTCTCTTCCCATCCATCCCATATCTAATGATATATGTCATAGTTTGATCATAATGACATTGATACCATGAGGTATTATCTTTAATTTAATTGAAAAGTACAATTCATAATTCTTGGATCGAAGTTCTGCAAAGCAATAATAATGTTCGTGTAACATAGAGGTTGCAAAATTATATCTAATATGCCAAACACAATATTCCTTTACATAATAGGAAAGTCATACTTATAAGAAATTAAGAATTTAAAAATTGTTAGGACATGCAACATGGGCAATTTATATACCCATTTATCAATGTAAGTTATGGTGATATATGTAACCAATCTTTGCTAAACAATGTTAAGATGTTCCTGTTTGGAATATTCTCATTTATAAATTTCTTTAAATATATATGTATCTTAAAATTATTTATTTTTATTTTTTGATAATTTGTAGGATCTTATGATCCTATCATATGATCCAAGTTTGCAACCCTTTTTTGATCCTAGGTAGGGAAGTGAGTTTGATAACCTTGCTTTGAACCATAAAGCAATTTTGTCAAATCCCTTTCTTACCAAGGGATGGTAGACTTCACTAACTTGGTTCATACAATAGAAAATATAATTTTCTTTTCACATGACCAAGCGATGAGTTTGAAAGCAAAACATTACAAATTTTAGTCACACTAAGCTCTTTGTTCAAAATGATCTTATTCAGTCTCATATTGAAACATGTAAATAAGCATATAAAAGAAAAGAAAAGAATGAACTTGGAAACTTGAATGACCATGTTGCAACCTTGTCACACTAATCTCTTCTATTTGACTATCATCTGCATGCAAATGTGGTTGAACTGTGAATAATTTGCATTTCTCCAAGTAGATTATTATTTTTAATAAACATCAACTTCTCTTACATTCATAAAAGGACACGTAGGCTGCAGTTTGGAATAAACTAATAAGGTCTTATGAGGGCATGGCCCCTAAAGATGCTATCCACAATTTATGATTTACTTCCATGAAAGATGAAAACCTGCAATATGGATTTGCAATTCTTAACTAATATTTGGGTTAAACTAAAATGAAAACATGGACAAAAAAGAATAAACAAAATCATATGACTAGAATTTCCTAATTGGGAAAAATGGCAAGTTACCAGTGTTTCATGTGCAATATGTGCGAACTAATTTCAGTTATAATGTCTCTATCTCTCCTAGTAATTGCAAACTAGAACAACAATTAAGAAAAAGCTTTGGATGTACGTTTCTAATATGTGTTCATCAAGTAGTCGAAATAAAAGCAACCAATATGTAAAACTATTCAATTAGTCAAATCCTTGCGAACTCACAAGAGCATTGCATAATCATAATCTTTATTGAAAATATTTCAACTCCAATTAAATATCTATTGAAGCCCAAAATAGGAAAAAAAATAGGAACAATCAATGTTTTCAATAGGTGCCTAGGTGCTCGGGTGAGGCGGGGCTTGAGCGCCTTACACAACTTCTGGGCAATGTGATTCATTGAAGCATCACTTGGGTGCTCGCCTGAGTCCAAGCGTCGGGCGCCTCGGGCGAGCGCCCAAGTGAAGGTGGCTTGTTTTTGTGCTTGGTTCGATTGAACAGGAAAATTGGTTCAATCGAACCAACTAAAGAGAAGAGCCCTAACACTAATTGGTCCCTCCCCCCCTTTGTACAGTTGGCCCTGCTTTGAAACCCTACATTCGCTGTCGCTGCCTTTGTTTGCAGCTCCCTCCATCATTGTTGCCTTCGTGGTATCCCCCTCCATCATTGATGTCGTTGCTATATATAAAATATTTTTTTTATATATTTTAATATTTTGGAGTGTCTCGTTTTGCTCGAGTGGGTGTTTAGGCGAGCGCCTAGCGCCTTGGGCGATTTGGGACCTTGGTTCATTCTGGTGATTGGTGCTTTTAAAAACATGGAGAACAATAACAATCAACAAATGTGGAAACAGACATTACTTAAAGTATAAATGGTTCTTTCCTCCTAATAACAAAAGTTACTGAAACTCATCGGATTGAACTATCAACTTGCTTACAAAGTTGTAAAAGCCAAACTTTGGCTTTGAACTTTACAAGTGGCATGATATGTTGTAAGAAGTTTTTGAAGATGGTGAAACAGAGATCTGTGTGCTTGATAAAGATTCTTATTTGCATTGTAATTCTAGATCTTATCCATCATCAACTATTTTCGGTTGGTTAGGCAATTTTCCGAAAATTCACTTAGACTACGCAACTTTTTTTCTCGATCTAGCATGGTTAATTGCAGTTCATGTTGCACGGAGAGTCAAAGGGAAGCAGCTTTACTATTAGGGCAATTTGCTTCAGCCGATTCAGATTGCAAGGCACTTTGTCACCTGACTTTTTTTTCTCTTTGTCCTATCAAAGTATAATAACAATTTGCACCAGGATATGCTCTTGTTTCTTACATTTGTCTGCAACCTTGATTTCTTGCAGGTGCATATTGTTCAAAGAGGTGCTGTCCGCCCTCTGATCGAGATGCTTCAGTCCCCAGATATTCAACTTCAGGCAATGTCTGTCTTTGCTCTTGGAAGGCTGGCCCAGGTTATAAATATATTTTACCCTTTAATGTTTAGCCTTTTCTTTTGTTGTATGATAAATCTGACATTTTATATTTAAATTAACATTTTTGCTATTTCTTGATCTATAAATACTTGATTTATTCAGCATTGCTGTTCTTGATCAATTTTCTCACTATATGTCTTTTTTACTAGGGACATTATTTAAACATGTCGTCAGTGATAATTTATTCAGCTAGTTCTTTTATTTTCTCTCATGTA